CCTCTCTCCTGTGCCTTTGTGTTCTGTAGAAGGTGAAGCGTAAGGGTATAAAAAGCTGAAAACAGTTCCTACCTCTAGAGACCAGGCATTTACTGGAAGAAAGAAAGACCAATTGCTTCCCAGAGCATTGTCTACCCACATTAGAGAAAGGATTAAGCAGATACATTCAGCTATTCTAACAGATTTTCTTTAAGCCTTGAATACCCCTCTCACACTCACTCAGATAATCACATTAGTTTTGTCATTAAAAGATCCCTTTTATAGAAAGTATCTAAACCGCTTAAACCACCCAGAGAGGTTGCATACATTAGAAAACAACAAGACAAACGGAAGGGATTTGCTATTCCCCGTCTCAGTGTTTCACTGCACCTTCTTTCTAAATGCAGGAGATTGAACTAAAAGATTTTTCAAATGATCGGCAAAGGAGGGCTTTCCGCCCTAGTCTGGCTGAGCGTGCAAAAGCCCACTGGCACCGAGGTGCTATGAAGTTCCACATGACGGAGCATCTGGGTGGACTCCTGTCCGAGGTGCACTTGCTCCCCACTGAGGAAACACCCTGTATAACACAGAGGCTTAAGGCAAGTAAATCTAAACGTATGGAGACATCTGGAGGCCCATCCACTGTATAAAAGCAACAGGAACCAATTCTGGGCTCGCCCCGTGAGGTTAAGAGGAAGTGTTCTTTAGACTCGTCCGATTTGAAATGAAATGTCAGAATTCCTAGCATCTGAGAAGTTTGGGATTTTGATTTTGCCAAAGGTTCCTGCTCATATGCTCCAAACCCAGAAATGCTCCAATGACACTCCAAAATATCCCTCTGCAGCAGCTCTCGCACTTTCGATCTCCACTCTTTCAGAGCTGCTTTTAGAGACCATCTCAGAGCCGCCTCACCAATGCATTTCCTGGTTTGTAACTTGTCAGTGGGAGTGAGTGGGTGAAATGAACTTGGTAACAACCCATCTAGGGCAGGTTGCTGCCTTGAAGTAGATAAACCTAAGTGCCTCCCTCTTCAGTTTGCAAGTCCCTAGGTGCATGTGGTTCTGGGGTATTCACAAGACTGTCCAAGGATCAGGAACTAGGCACCAAGCGGCCTCCAGAATTCAGGCAGAGCAGGGCCCTGTACCAGTAGCCTTACTCAGAGCATGCTTCATATACCCTACTACACCAGACCCCTCATAAAAGTTAATCGCTCTCCTTTTTAAAATAGGGTCAGAGAAGCAGCCACCAGGGCTCATGTCTTAGGACATTTGCCCAGGAAATGGAAGACCTAGGTTAAATGCCCTCCAAAACCACATCTCCCATTTCCCAGAAAAATGCACTAACCACTGAGCTACATATGAGAAGGGTGGAGGGTGCTGTTCCCAACTTTCCTGTGAGCTGTCAGGCAGGTGGCGATGTTTAAGGGGTCAAGCAAATGGGAGAGAGCACAAGAAAGCAAGCGCACAAGCAGAAGCCTGACTGTAACAGGGCATTCACCTGGGGAGCAGTCTTGTATTCAGATTCCTCCTATTTTTTCCCCTAATGACTGTTTAACATATAATGCATAAACAAGCTGAAGTGGTTTTAACCACTACACCATCATATGAAGATAAGCAGCAGCAGGATCACCCAAGCCCTTTTTAGGTGCTGAGAATCTTGTGTTGGACCTGGACCTTATTCGACTAAGGATCTCATAGACTATAGGATAGAGCTTAATGGAGTTACATGCCACGTTGGGCACTATCTAAAGGTAAACAGGAGCATTCACTCTGACTTTCAAGGAAGTGGACGATGTCCATCATCAAGCAAAAACAGTGTCTGGACAAGGGTCGATTTCATGGGATTTAGCATCGATTTCTTTTAGAGCTCTCAATTGAAAACTTGATTTGCAGGGCAAGTTTTAATGGTTTTCCCTTGCAGATCTCTGGTTGGCTAGGTCTTCCTTGCATCATTTGTTGGAGGATTTGAAGTTTGACAGGGCTTCAAATTCTCCTAGATTCTTCTGCATGGATAGATTCAATCTTTCCTCTTAATGGACCTACTCATTACAGGCAAGATTTTCACTAGTGCAAACAGGAGTTAGACTTCCAGTGAGATTTGAGCACTGAACTTCCCTTTAAAAACCTTCCCTTGAAATCTTATACTCTCACTGCTTCACTGTCTCATTCTTTAAAATTAAAGCCAAATTTCAAGGACTTGGTTTCTAAGCATAGTAAATAAGCCAGGATAGATCCTCCTCCAGGTGCAGTTAGCTATTTTGGTACTTCCTTTGATTATGCATGTTTGACTAGCTTAGGTATCCTAGTTTAAAAATAAATAAAATAATCACAGTATGATATGGGCAGCAGCTGTGCAATTTTTTTTCCCAGTGCCCTGCAGGCCTTGCCTGCCTGATTGAGCATATGGGTGATGGCATTTCTGTCTCTAGGGCCTAGTCAAACTTTTGCTTGTTGGGCCAATCAGTGCCAAGGAGGTTAGCAGTTTCCACAAAGCTTGCCTGTCCAGATAATTACATGGCTCTCATCATTGTTTAGTGAGGACTGGACTGAGACTATCAAAATCAATCAGATTGTCATTTTTTGGAAGTTACTATCCTAGGATATATTCAAACCAGTAACCTAGAAAAGAAATAATTTATTTCCTCATAACCAACCCACCCAACCAGATAATCATAATTCTCTCATTGGCAGTTAGAGAACAGAGTTTAACCTGACACTGTGGACATTATGAAACAGTGATAATTACATATTTGCACACTTAATTCAACCTTCCCCCATTGATGGCTCAGGCATAGATTAAATAACTTTATTATAGAAGTGTTGAAAACACCAAAAAAAAAAAATCTACCCACTACCAGCAGTCCATTTATCTCTATGTGAAACAAACCACATTCACAACTTCATATTAGTTTATTTATAACATGTTGCAGTACATTTAAATTACAATACAGATTTCAATTTCCATAAGATTCATATTTACTGGTCTTCCAAAGCATCTCATTACCCTTCAAGTAAAACTTTTAATTCTTTGTCTGTTGTATCTCTCTGCCCCCAAAAGGCAACACACCTTAAAATAAGAAGAACTCATGGTACAGGGGACAACATTGAATGTGTGATGCCAAGAATATCTTAGGTGATGCAAATAGCATGAGACATGGACCTATCATGACACCGGGGATAAAATGAATGATCTTATTATGGCACTTGATCATCTAACCTGCATGCCACAGCAGGAAAGTTACATTTCAAAATGAGGTAGCTAATCATTGATGAAGGTCATTCCCTAATGTATGAAAGTTCAGATGAGGTCTAAAAGGCTTTTCAAAAAGGAAGAGGTAGAGAGGTTGTCTATTAGTCTGAAGGCCAAAAAGAAAAAACAAAACAAAACAGATCAGAGTGATCGCCTCCATCAAAAGCCAAAAAACACTAATGTGATAAAGATCTGAGATCTAAAGCTCAGTGGAGTCAACAGGAGGGTCCCCAATACTATAGCAACATGACAGAACATCTAACATAAAGACAAATTCTCTCTTCTGAAGCAAAAGACTAGATAGAGGTGACTTATTATTTTTTTTTAATCTCTCATTATCATTGAAAGATTGCCTTTATTCAAAAGGGGAATGGTTTCAGGAATGTTTCAAGCAACTTTTCCAGAAGAGTGGGGGGAGGTGCAAAAATTCATAGAAAAGTACAGCTGGAAAGGACCTCCAGAGGTTATCTAGTCCAACCCCCTGCTCATGGCAAAAAATAAATCCCACCTAAACCCTAGGCATGTTTCTCTAATCTACTCTTTAAAAATTCACAAAACAAGCCTCTTATACAACTACCAGAGATAGCCCAAAATATCAAACACAGCCTAACTTGCCACAGGTAACACAGGGAAATGAGGGCTATTAAAAAAGTGTCCTGCCACTGAAAGGATTTATATTCAAGAGATTTTTCTTTTTGTCCTTCCCCCCATCCCTTACACTTCCCTCATCTTCCAAATACAAAGGTTATTAAAAATCAGGTTCAGAGGGGAAAACAATAAGTATACATTTTTCAAAAACAAATTAAGTGTCTTCCAGACTTTCATTTAAACACCTCTGGATCCAACAAATGGAAATCTTCTGCTTTCTTGGAGAGACCATGTGCCAACTACTGGAAGGAAACTATATGACAACCTACAATGGTGGCTACTTGGGAACTATAATAATGCCCCTCCTGCATAACCCACAATCTCTCTTTGTATAATCGTTGAACTCTGTACTCCGAGTCCACGGCACTGTGTACTCAATGGAAGAGGCCATTATTCTCTTTGTTATGAGTACTGTGTATTCTAAGTGTTTATACTTGCCTGCAAATCCCCTTCTTAGCTATCGAATTAAAGTGTTAATTAGAAACCTACGTACACCCATAGGCTATTGATTGCACTTCAGGTTTAACTTTCTTTTCCTGCAGTGGTTGTAGGAAGTGTCCATTTCTTATTTGATCAAAAAGCTAAAAAACATTGTATGGCGCAACAAAATAGAGGCCATGGTTTTATTGTAGATACACACACACGCACACAGATAGATACTAGGAACACATTTGCATCACAGTGCTAGAAAATGGCCCCATTTGAATGGAGATTACCAACAGCTGACAGATTTCAGGGGAGCTCTAAAGAGCTCTTCCCCTTCCTCTCAGATTCTTCCCTGGCTTCACTCTCTCTAGTCTCCAAAGTGATTACCTGCTAAAGAAAGAGCATGAAAGGTCCAGACTGCTGAA